TTTACTGGTTTTTACTGGTTTTTAGTGGTTTTATTTTTTTTATTACTCATACTGGTTTATACTGGTGCATACTGGTTTTTACTGGTCCATACTGGTTTTTACTGATCTGTAGTGGTCCATAATGGTTCCTATGGGTTTATCTTATACCGGTTCTTACCGGTTCTTACTGGTTCTTACTGGTTTTTACTGGTTTTTACTGGTTTTTACTGGTTTTTACCAGCTATACTGGTTCGTACTGGTCCGTACTGGTTCATACTGGTTTGTACTGGTTCCAGGGTGCCCTCGGAGCTGTCGTTCGTGGGGCAGTGCCTGGGGGTGAACCCCAAATCCTACGGGGCGTGGCACCACCGGGGCTGGGTGCTGGGCCGCGCCGCGGCGCCCCCTGCTGGCCGGGAGGACCTGGCGCTGTGCGAGCGCCTCCTGGCGGCCATACTGGTCTGTACTGGTCTATACTGGTTCGCTATATCCTTTTTTACTGGTTTAGACTAATTTTGTACTGCTTTTTACTGGTTTTTTACTGGTTTTTACTGGTTTTTACTGGTTTTATTGCTTTTTATCACTCATACTGGTTTATACTGGTCCATACTGGTTTATACTGGTGCATCCTGGTTTTTACTGGTTTATACTGGTTTTTACTGGTCTGTAGTGGTCTATAATGGTTTCTATGGGTTTATCTTACACCGGTTCTTACTGGTTCTTACTGGTTCTTACTGGTTTTTACTGGTTTTTACTGGTTTTTACTGTTTTTTACCAGCTATACTGGTTCATACTGGTCCGTACTGGTTCATACTGGTTTGTACTGGTTCCAGGGTGCCCTCGGAGCTGTCGTTCGTGGGGCAGTGCCTGGGGGTGAACCCCAAATCCTACGGGGCGTGGCACCACCGGGGCTGGGTGCTGGGCCGCGCCGCGGCGCCCCCTGCTGGCCGGGAGGACCTGGCGCTGTGCGAGCGCCTCCTGGCGGCCGACCCCCGCAACTGTGAGTACTGGTTTGTACTGGTTTGGACTGGTTTGGACTGGTTTGGACTGGGACGGGGCTGTACTGGGCTGTACTGGTTTGTACTGGGATGGGGTTCTTGGGGGTTGCTGGGTTGGACTGGTTTGTACTGGTTTGTACTGGTTTGGACTGGTTTGGACTGGTTTGTACTGGGACGGGGTTCTTGGGGGTTGCTGGGTTATAGTGGTTTGTACTGGTTTGTACTGGGACGGAGTTATACTGGTTTGTACTGGTTTGTACTGGTTTGTACTGGGATGGGGTGCTGGGAGTGACTGGGTTATACTGGTTCGTACTGGTTTGTACTGGTTTATACTGGGATGCAGTGCTGGGGGTCACTGGGGTATACTGGGAGTTGTACTGGGTTATACTGGGATGGAGTGCTGGGAGTTGTACTGGGTTATACTGGTTTGTACTGGGATGGAGTGCTGGGAGTTCCTGGGTTATACTGGTTCGTACTGGTTTATACTGGGATGGGGTGCTGGGCTGTACTGGGGGATACTTGGAGGGGCATTGGGAGCTGCTGTGTTGTACTGGGGGATACTGGTTTGTACTGGGATGGGGCCTTGGACCTACTGGGAGGGAATTCAGGTTATGCTGGGCTTACTGGTTTATACTGGGAGCTGCCCCAGGGGCTCGGGGGCGGCTCCCAGTCCTTACTGGTTTGTACTGGTGCCTTCCCAGTATAAACCTGGTGAGGCTGGGAGCTCCTAGACCATACTGGGAACGGGTTTGTGTGCACGAACCCTTACTGGTTTATACTGGGAGCTGCTCGTACGCGCCCCAGGGGCTCGGGGGCGGCTCCCAGTCCTTACTGGTTTGTACTGGTGCCCTCCCAGTATAAACCTGGGAGCCTCTAGACCACACTGGGAGCTCCTAGACCATACTGGGAACGGGTTTGGGTGCACGAACCCTTACTGGTTTATACTGGGAGCTGCCCCAGGGGCTCGGGGGAGGCTCCCAGTCCTTACTGGTTTGTACTGGTGCCCTCCCAGTATAAACCTGGTGAAGCTGGGAGCTCCTAGACCATACTGGGAACGGGTTTGGGTGCACGAACCCTTACTGGTTTATACTGGGAGCTGCTGTTATGAGCCCCAGGGGCTCGGGGGCGGCTCCCAGTCCTTACTGGTTTGTACTGGTGCCCTCCCAGTATAAACCTGGTGACGCTGGGAGCTCCTTGGGAGCTCCTAGAACATACTGGGA